CATTTCAGTACAAAGAAAATGCAAAGTGCTTTACATGATTAAAATATAGGAAAATAAAACAGGATCAAAGCAAGTAGGAAAAAAAAATAAAACATGCAGAAACAAGACAGAACGTTAAAAACAGTTGGACTAAAGAAAATAAAAAAGTTGAACTAATGATGTTTCAGTTGAAGACCCGAGTGGTCTGGAGGGTTGATACACTGATAGCAAGTCTGTGATGTATTTAGGTGCTAAGCCATTCATAGATTAATAGACTAACAGACGTATTTAGAGTCTATTCTCTGAGATAAAGGGTTCATACACTGCAAAAAAACATCCTGAATTAAGTCAGTTTTTCTTAAAATAAGTGCATATGTTTTTTAAGTGAGGAGGTAAGTGAGATGGGACAAAACAATTTACATTTAAAATAAGAAAAAAACAATTGCATTGTCTTATTTCAAGTACATATTATGTAATTATCTTATTTTAAGAGTAAAAATACTAATTTCATTGGCAAATCATCTTATTTACCTATTGAAATTAAGGGTAAATACACAAATGTTGACTTATTCGGGGAGTGTTGGCTTAGTCGTTAGAGCAGTGAAGGTTGCAGGTAGCCAGTTCGATCCCCACAGCCTGCACTCTGGGTCCTGAGCAAGACCTGTAACCCCACACTGCTCCTCGGGCGCCACACAATGGCAGCTCACTGCTCCCAAAAGGGGATCGGTCAAATGCAGAGAGATAATTTCTCCATTGTGAGATCAATAAAGTTCCATATCTTTTATTTCTGCGTAGTTTTTGCGCTGTAGGCTGATGCTGATCATTTTGACGCCAGTCTGACTTGGCGTGGCCTTTAGGGCCCTCAGTGTAATGGCAAAGAGGCTGGTTGATATGGACTGAATTAATTTCAGAGGTTGTTATAAAAAAATGCTTGGAGGCAATTTTTAATTCTGTTATACAGCTAAATAAACAATAAAAAAATACATGTTGAATGTGGTAGTTAATGATTTACCGGTAATAAAAATTGTACTTTAATTTATTGGAATACTGTTTCCTGCAGTTGAACTTCCTTTAATTGTTGATAGAGTTTGTTTGCGGAGGCTCTAAACCTTTTAAATCAGAGCGGAGCCCACCTGGAAATGATTAAGCGCTCAGCAACATGTACCACCAATTTTTTTCAGCTGATTTGTTTTGGCTGATATTGCTTCCTAATCCACAGCTTATTTAATAAAAAGGACATAATGGTACCAAAAGTTGTGCATTGTTGAATTTAAATGGCTAATAAACAGTGATGGGAGTAACGCCGTTGAAAGTAACGGCATTACTAATGCCGCTACCTTTTTTTAGTAACAATCAAAATGATTACTCGCAGTTACAATTGCCGACACCCCGTTACTGCAGGTTACTCAGGTCGCACAATAACCTTTTTTCATGATAGGACTCGTGCGCGCGTCATGAGAGAGGGGAGGATGGAGAGTGAGGAGGACTCCAGCAGCAAAACAGCGCTTTCCAGATGGAAATACCGGTGTTACATCGAGCTGCGTTTCCCCATCAGATACGGTTTCCCCTGCATTTCAGCGGCATGATTCACCGCGCAAGCGACAGGAAACACGCATGCTCG